AATTGAGATTGGAAAATTAAAACATTACCTAAATTGTGATTGGCGAATATTTTTTATCTTCTAAATTAATCATCCTAGATGATATGGATATTCCAGTATGGTTAGTTTAATCACTGAAAATTAACATATATGCCCTAATCAGAGTTTTAATTTTTAGCTGATCATCCAGTACAATTTTAAATTGTCCTGTATGATTAGGTCAAAAATAAAAAAAATACTTTAACTCACCAAATTTCTCCCCTTAAGTGTGTGTGTGTGTGCAAGGTTTAATTTGCTTAGGGTCCACCATTTTGAAGATTTGACTCAAAAAAGGTATATATATATATATATATATTGAAATGAAATTATAAGTAGACTCAATCCTAATCTACCCGATCTTGAGCTGAATTGCATTGCAAGTGATTTTATGTACCTAAAAGGTTAGTAACCAGGATAAACAAAATAGATATGTAATAATAGTTGTGGTAAAGAAATAATAATGTTTGTTATCATCAAAATTATAGTATTTCCATTTAAACTTACAACAATCTCCCTCTTTTTGATGATGACAAAAATTGTTGTTAAAAATTTCAAATCAAGCAAGAAATATTTTTTTTAATTAAGGAAAAAAAATTGAGACATAAAAACAATAGTAGTAAAACAAAGTAAATTTCACTAAGGACAAAAGCAAATAACACACCACTCCCCATTTTGACATTATAAAAAAGGAGAAAAATAAGAAAAATAATATATGGAACAAAATACATAAAAGAGAATAAGTACAAACAAAGAACAAAACACTAACAAACTAATAGAAAGAGGAACCCTGATCAGGTGGAGGTGGTGGTGGTGGCTATTGAAAGTATGATGAAAAGAAATAAACTACTCGCCAAACAATGCCATATCCTGGTCGTGCTGCTGCTGCTGCTGTTGAGCTATATATGCTTCAAACCAAGTTACGTCCTGATCATGTTATTTTTGCTACTCGGTGACAGATAACTCAAATCTAGCTTCCCACTTGTCAAACCTCTAAACTAGTTGATCAATTTGGGAGGGCTGGTAGATAGGGATAGGTGCAGGAATATTCCTTCCTCTTTTATTATTGCCTCATCGTGCATAGGGATATGACATGGAAGAAGTTATTTAAGTAGAAAAAAGTGAGGTGATTAGGTGGGCCTAGATATTGAAGGTTGTATTTAGTTTTGAGTACATAGGCTATGATATTTCCTAAGGCTAGATTTGGATTTCTTTTGTGGTCGAGATCCTTAATGTGGGTTAGAAGATAAGTAGCATTAAAATCTTAATGAGCCATTATGTAGTAGGTGGTGAGTAACAGGATGGGGGTAATATGAATCTGATCCCCAGCTTTAGGAATTATGGAGGTGTGAAGAAAAAGCTGGAGGGTTCAAACATCTTTAGTAAGGAACTAGTTGCATAGTCATGAATGGAGGCTCGAAGAAGTGTATTTGCAGGGCCCCAATTAAAGTTAGGATCTAAAACCAAAATATGAAGTTTGTCTCCAGTGATGGAAATGTGGAGAAATTTATAGAAATCTTGATATGTTATTTCAACAAGGCGTTGATTAATAAATAATTAGAGTGAAGTAAAATCAGATTTCAAATGGAGACTGGCAAAAAATTCAAAAAGCAGTTTGGAATTGAAGGTGAAAGTAAGTGTGAGAACGAAGCCAAGAGTTGTGCGAGAAAAGAGGTCTAGTACCTGATAGTTTAACACCTCCTGATTGATAACCTTTGAGGGATTAATCCCTATGGATTTGTAGTAGGTGTAAGTATCTTAATAAGCTACTTCAATAAAGCAATAATCAATAGCACTCCTAAAAGAGCTGCCTGTCAGTTCACGCGATTATTTACTGCGCGCCAGCCATATTAAAAAACTTAAAGCTTGAGGAAGAGAGAAGAGAATTGTAATTGTTGGAGTGAAGAATATGCTTAAGATTGGCTATTTAAATAGAATCAGGTTATGGTCCAAGATGATCATGAGATTGTTTAGGACAATCAGGCGCGATAATGTCATCCAGATGATCAATCAAAAAGGTTGATCTTATCATCCATGATGATCAAATATTATAGTGGACAATTAGACACAGGGTGATCGTCTCGAGGAGTTATCATATATGATCGTTGAATAAATGGATCATATAGGATGAATATGTGTACATCCGAGATGATGTGTAATAATGGATTGGCCTAACATCATTCAAATCATCCAACTATTTCTTCCATATGTATCATATAGGACGAAATGAGAATCATCCAGTATGATCACCAATAATTGGTTCAGATCAGCCGTTGGATGTGTTGTGATCAAAGAGGTGCATTTTTGTTCAAAATGTACAAGATGTTATAGATCGTCTTGGATAATGTAAACAAAATAGAAAAAAGTTAAAGCTATGAAAAGTGATGATCAGGAGTTTTTCAATACACAAATAAAATACACAAAGAACATAAAATAACATAAAATAAAAACAAATACCAACTAAAAAAAAAAGCTTTTTTTAATCGATCACCACTATTACATAATAAATTTCCCTTATGAGTGGATTAAAAATTAGTAAGAAGTGAATTAATAATGCTGAAATCCAGAAAGAGTAAAAATCTATCTTGTTAACCCTAGCTTAGACTCCTTACAAGTTAAAAATCATTTTAAAATAAAAATCTTATTCAGAAAAAATAAATAAATAAAAGTGATCTATTCAAAACTTCATTTAAAAAAATATGATTTAATAATATATAAAATTCATCAATAAAAATCATGAGTTTCAAAAATCAAGTGTTTAAAGATATCGAGTGGCACACGAATTCTTCTAAGATTTAAAGATTTGAAAGAGAATGAAGCTTATTTTTGTGGGCTCATTTTGAGCCTCTTTTTTAATTATCTAGCACACTTTGCACATCTTTTAATTTGTGATAGAATTTAGTGTATTTTACAATTACTTGTCAGTCATTACGCATCTTTTTCATTTTTCTTTTGGGCTCATTTTGTTCCTTTTTTCAATTTTTACAAGCTATCTTCCTTTCAAAAACTATAAAGACTCTCAGTTGTAAGATTATCTTTCATATATAAGAGTAGAAAAATCACTCTCTAAAATAAGAAAGAATAAATCACTAATCAAAATCATATTCATATGATAGATGCAATAACCTGATCGATAAAACTTGAAAGTGATTTAATAACTTTGAGCATTAATCATATGAGACAGATTATTGTAAGAAAATAGAAAGATCTCAATTTTAAAGTCTAACTTTTAATTTGATATAAATTTTATTTTAAAAGGAAAAATACACCATTAAAGGTGTTAGAGGAAGAAAAACAATCATCGATGTTTCTTCCCTTAACTGATTTAGGGAAGTCAAACAATGCCTACTAATTTTTAAAACCAAAAGCAAGGAAAATATGTTATTTAAGAAATCAATATTAATAGTGACCATTGATCTTATTATCAACAAAAAGTTAAAGGGAAAATCAACATAAAAATGAAAAACATTAAATAGAAGTATATAAAGAAAACAAACATGCAAATAAAACAAAAATAAAAAAAATATATCAGAAAATAGAAAGAAGTTACATGGTTCTTAATGAAGTGATGCCTTATATCAATGTGTTTGGTCATGGTGTGTTGGATTTGATTCTTTGAAATGAAAATGAAACTAGTGTTATCATAGAGGATTGAAATTGTGCCTATTGGTAATCCTAAATCAAATTTTTTTTGCTTTAACTAGAGGACTTGGGTCATAGGAAAACTAAGTTCTATTTTATAATGGATCAGGAGAGTAAGGACTATTCCATAAGTGCTTTTTCTATCAACTTGACATCCCTCAAAATTTGAATCAAAATATCCTATGATTTCTAAGGTGTTATGCCTAGAATACCAGATTCCTATGTCAGGGGTTTTAAGAGATTCTAAGAATTTTCTTAACATCAAGCAAGTGGAATTCTTTTGGATCAGCATGAAATCTAGCACATAGATAAATACTAAACATAATATCAAGTCTACTAGTAGCTAAGTAAAGAAGTGATCCAATTATTCCTCTGTATTTCTTTTAATCAATAGATTTTCCATTTGAATTCTTGTTTAACTAAATAGTGGAACTCATGGGCATGTTGATTGGCATGGATTTATCCATTTCATATTTCTTAAGGATGTCCTTAATATATTTTGATTGACTAAGGAATTTTTCATCATCCTTTTGCCTTTTGCCAAACCCCAAAAAGTAAGTCAGTTCTCCCATCATACTCATTTCAAATTTCCTACTCATTATTTTTTAGAATTCTTCACATAGATTTTTATCAAAAGATTTAAAAGGAATATATCAACATAAATTTAAACAATCAAAAATTCATCTCCTACCTTTTTCAAAAATATGGTGCTGTCTATGCTCCTCTTTACAAAAGTTCTTTCTAGTAGGAATGTGCTTAGCCTTTCATACCATGCCCTATGTGACTTTTTGCTTAGCCTTTCAATTTGAACACATGATTAGGAAATGTAGGGCTTCTAAGGGTTTATTAGTGTTTATTTCTTTGATTGAGTGGAAATAGGATTTGACTTATTTTCTTAATTAATAGGCATCACACAAGTGGTCTTGTGTGAATTCTAGTTTGGGAATTCCTCTCACTAAGTCTTTTTGGGTGATTTTCCTACCTATAAAATCATCAGATGTTAGATTTGGGAATCCAAATAGGTTTAGGTCTCATCTTTTGGAAAGAATAAAATGCATGCATGCTATGTTGTGTATTTTCAAGTTTTGGTCTCCACACTAAATGTGTTATACAATAAATGATGCAAGTGGGAGATATGTCCTAGCATGCCATAAGAAAAATATCTAACTCTAGGAAATAGATTTACTAATCTATTCGCGTTATGGTGCCTCTTCATAGGTTTGAATGATGCATGCTGATTTGATGGATTATGAAACTCTTATATTATAGGTGGTTTTTTATTTCATTTTTTTTTTTTTGAAAGAAATGCTGAAATGCATTAGAAATCAACAAGAAACCACAAATCAAGATACACCTAAAGCATCACATTCCTCCTTCAAGCAATACAAGAAAGAAGGGGGAATAAAATCATCATGAAGATCTTCCCACGAAAAAGATCTAACTAAACCCAAATTAGCACAAATATCTTCTAATTTGTTACCACATCTATTTGAAAAGGAAAATACAATTTGATTAAACTCTAGCAAGAAAGCCAAATTATCATCAATCACTTTACTAACCTTCCAGGATTTGACTGACTTTTGAAGCAGTTTTATGATATTAAAGTTATCCCCTTCGATGATAACACCTTGTGCTTCGAGCATCCAATCCTTAGCCACGTTCTTCAGATATAAAACTGCTAATAGCTCCACTTGTGAAAAGTCCCAATGCAAGCAATGAGCTCCAAAAGCAAACAAGAATCTACCTTTCTCGTCTCTAGCAACGCCACCAATTACAGCCAAATTATTCCTTTTAAGAGCTGCATCCACATTTATTTTAATCCACCTGGGAGGAGGAGGATGCCAAGGAGAAAATAGCAATTGCTGATTAGCATCCCAGTTATCCGGTTGAATGTTCAAAAAATTACTTCTTAAAGCAAAGGATATAGTGTTAGCAGCAATAGAATTATCTGAATCATCCTTTTCACCATGAACCACCTTGCATCTACTTTTCCATACAAGATAAGCAGCTGTACAAAAGATGTTTGCAATAAGAGAATTCTTTCCCACAAACCTTTGAAGACTAACCAGGCAATCCCGAAAACTGTCAAAAACTGGAACTATAATCCCCCAGTTATTCAGTAAAGATACCACCTTCCTGATCTTGCAGCAACCTCCCACCAAATGGTTGTTATCTTCATCTTCCCCACAACCTCTCGGGTAACCAGGAAAATTACTAAGTTTCCTGTAAACAAGGAATGTATTAGAAGGAATGGCATTTTACAAAGTCTCCACCAAAAAGTTCAATTTTTTGTTTTAACTTCAATCTCTTCATCCAATTCCAATGAACAATTTCCTCCTCATAAACCATAGCTGCTTTGAATGACAAGGCTGTAATGGATTTACGAGTAAATTTATAGTTCAATTCTAACATATCTGAAATTCTGTTGTAATTAATAGGAATAGTAGAAATTGTCTTCAGAAGCTGCTTCCCGAAAATAACTTCAAGTTTCTCCCAATTCCACTGGCCGTTTAAAATGAAAGAGGTAAGATTTATGTCTGAAATGTCCTGAACATTAACAAATGTAGGCCAATTAGAAATACACTTGTCTAATATCCAAGAATCATGAAGCCAATTAATAGACTTCCCATTGGAAATATTCCATCTAACAATATTTTTGAGAAATTTGGCTCCCATAGTAATAATCTTCCAAGTGGGTAAAGTTCCTCCCTTTACAAAGCCCGACCACACATCTTCTCCATACTTAACTCTTAGTATTTGATTCAATAAAGAATGGGGCTTCATGAAAAAATTCCAAGCAAATTTTGCCCGAAGAGGACCAATCTTTGACACTGCTGAAAACAATCCTCTACCACCTTCACTTTTCGACTTACAAAGTAAATCCCAAGATGCATAATAGAGCCTAGCATTACCATTGTTTTTACTCCAAGTGAACCCTCTACACATCTTATCAAACTCCTTAAGAATGCTCAAAGGAACCAACGAAAGAGTAGATAAAAATAGAGGTAAAGACATGAATGCTGATTTGACTAAAACCAATTTACCTTCCAAAGAAATACACTTCTTTTCCCAAGTATTTAGTTTATTAGCAGCAGCCTCCAATAAAATCTGGAAATCCGATGCCACCATTCTCATTAAAGTCATCTTCACACCAAGATAGCTAATGTCCTTCACAATCTTAAAGTTGAGTTTTTTAACTATCTTCTGAAAGTTTGTTAGGGATGTTAAGCCCTATAGAATTGGCCCAAGGCTAAATAAAAGAGAGGTGAATTGGATAACTTTAAAACCAAAGATAAAACTAAATCCAAAATCACCAAGGAAAAACAAGTGCGGAAGAAAATAATGTGTAAGCAAGAATAAGAAAAGAACACACCGGATTTATAGTGGTAGGGGAAACTTGAAGAGAGAGCTTGAAAGGGAGAGAGGAAAGGGTGGAGTTTGAGAGGGAGAAGATCCTGTAAGGGGGAGGAACTCAAGGGAGTGTGGAGGGGATTGCACACGGTTGCTCCGACGAACTCGCACCTTAGTACCATCAGATTCAAGGCTTGTCTCGAGGTAAGTTCACCAAAGAAGAAGATCTCTTTGGTGTCAAAGGACCCGGCGACTTCGCCGCACCGGAGAAGGTGGAAGTGATTTTGTAAGGGCTTCTCCGTCTAGCTGTGGGGGCTAAAGGAGTGTCACATTTTAGTGCAATACTTGGAGGGTGCCTCCAAGGAGTGGACGTAGGTTAAGGTTTGACCGAACCACTATAAATCCTGTGTGTTCTTTTTTTATTCTTGCTTCCACATTATTTTCTTTCGCACTTATTTTTTCGTGGTGATTTTGGATTTAGTTTTATCTTTGGTTTTAAAGTTATCCAATTTACCTCTCTTTTATTTAGCCTTGGGCCAGTTCTATAGGGCTTAACATCCCTAACAAAATTTCAAGCTCTCTCTTCAAGTTTTCCCCACAAGAATGAAGCTACAATGGCTACCTTAATGAGGATGCCCTAATTCAGGTTTCTGATTTTAGACATATCGTCCAGGACGATATAAATATCATCCCGGCCGATATTACAAAAAATAAAAATCTTTTAAGGAATAGCAAGAAATCTTCCAAGTTACAAATCAATAGGTCCCACAACAAATACAACAGACTCAAGAAAAGAAAAAGATTACAAACTGACTCAGACCTAGTCTACCCAATCTTGAGCTGGTTCCAAATTGCAGTCCGATCGTGTGAACCTGAAATGTTAGTAAAAAGCAGTCACAGAGAAAAAAGAATGTTTGCTATCATCAAAATAATAAGCCATAGATCCGCAACATCTTTTTCTGGATACTCTTTTTGGTATACTTCCCAAAAAGAATCTTTGATTTAGAAGAGTTAACCTTTTGCCCCGTCCAATTACAATAATTGGAAATAATCTTCTCCAACTCCATAACTTCTTTAATCTTTGCCTCCAAAAAGATTAAAATATCATCCGCATTGAGTATGTGAGACACTCATGGTGTTAACGGAGAAATAGAAATACCCATACCACTTCTTCTAGAGAATAAGACATAAGATAAAATTTGAGAGCATAAGATAAATAAAAAAAGGGGATAATGGACAACCTTGCCAAAATCCACATCTCCCTTCAATCTAGTTAGTTTTCTTCCCATTAATCAAAATGCAAAACTTGGGATTAATCACACATTGCAATAAAAGCTCCATAAATTTGGTAGGAAATTTAAACTGAATAAGAACTTGCCTTAACATTTGCTAACCCATACTATCGTAAGCTTGCTCCATATCAAGCTTAATAGCAAACATACCACTTCTAGCCTTGGACCATCTGAACTTGTTAAACACCTCCTGTGCCAATAGCACATGATCAGACAGAGATTAGCCTCTAACAAAAGCTGCTTGGTCCACCGAAATGATCTTCTGAATAACCTTTTCCAATCTATTTAGGAGCATCTTAGCAATAATTTTGTAAATAGTCAAACATAGACTAATAGGTCTGAAGTGTACAGGCTCTTGAGGACATTTAATTTTAGGGATCAAAACTATCAAAGTTTCTTTCCAAGACCGGTCCATAACACCTAAAGCCAGAAAATGGTTAACTGCAAGCCAAACGTCATCTTTAATCAGCTGCCAAAAATCTTTGATGAAAGAGAATGAAATCCCGTCTAAGCTTGGAGAGATATTCCTCTCAGAATTCTCCACAACAACCTGAAATTCCTCCCGTAAAAACTCAGCATCAAGCATATTCTGGTCAACATTACTAATGCTCGCAGAAGGATTTGGCCATCCATCTAATGAGCAGTTTCTGTGTTGCCATTTCAGCCTGAAAAAATCTGAGAAAGTCTTCTGGAGCACAGCTTCCTCCTCCGATACAGTTATGTCCATAGTTTTGATATGACTAATCCAGATAAAACTTCTCCTTGCATTTGCAAAAGAATGAAAGAAAGACGAATTACTGTCTCCTTCATCCATCCATCTTGCCTTGGCTCTCTGCCTCCACCATGTATTGAGTCTCGCCAATGTTACATTGAACTAATTGATTTTAAATCTCAAAATTTGTAATTTGTCAAATGAGATACAACCTTCAGCTTCCTCTAATTGGATTTCTAAAATCTCACTTTTAATTTTGTCCCTCAACAAGTTCAAATTTCTGAACTTAGCCTTACTCCAATAAAAAAGTGCTCTTAAAGCTCTTTTGAATTTCAAATTTAGCACAGATGCCGGGTCTCCCCTACAATTTTTCAACTAGATTTTCTTCACTAAACCAGTTGCTCCATAGTAAGAAGCCCAAACCTCTTCATACTTGATATCTCTCTTAAAACTTCCCACAATTTTGAAAATATCCAACATAATCGGACAATGATCTGAAGCAATACGATTCAAGTGTCTAACTAAAGCAAGATGAATGATGTCTAAAGCAGAGGAATTAATAAGACATATGTCTAACTTCTCCAATATACGATCACTACCAGATTTATTATTACACCAAGTGAACCTTGGTCCCATTGATTTTACCTCGTGAAGATCATTCTTAATCATGAAGTTATTTAAATCCTTGGAGCCTTGAGTCAAAGTAAACTTCTTACCCCGTCTTTTTTCAGCTTGAGACAGCACAAAATTAAAATCACCTCCCACCACCATAGGTAAATTGCCTAAACAATGCCTTTCAAGATCATCCCAAAGCCTCTTCCTTTCGTGAGCATCTGTGCTACCGTAAACAGAGGCAACTATCCAGCTATTTTTTTCGGTAACATCCAGTTTTCCCAAAATCATCTGAGAAGAAGCCTCAATGACCGAGAAAGTTGCTAAATCTTTTCTCCATAACACCAACAAGCCACTTGAGAATCCCACTACAGGAAGCAGAAAAAACTCCCAATTCATTCCCAGAAATTTCATAAGATGACTATTATCCAGTGAAATAATCTTCGTTTCCAATAAACCCACAAAGAAGACCCCATTATCCTTGATCACCTCTTTAAGATATAGAGTAGCCTCCAAATTTTTGGCTCCTCTACAATTCCAAAATGGTAAGGAAGACATTATTTAAAGATAGGGGAATGACCCCCAACCCTTTTAGTTTTTCCACCATCCATCTTTCTATTACGAGGAATAATGTTTCCCGATCCAAGTGACTTAAGCTCTTTAAAAAGCTTAACTTTCTTCTCAGAAGAGTGACTTCCCACCATATATCCAATAGGAACTGATAGACCTTCCTCATTCTTCTGTAAAATCTCTGACTGCTGTTCAGCACACCTTGCTGTTTTGTTCACATCCAAATCTTCATCAGGAACCAATATTTCTCCTTCCTCTGCCTCGTTCATATCATCAGCAACAGAGTCCTTTACATTACTTGATTCATCTAAACTAGATAAAACATCGAATCTGTTAAGAACTTCAAAAGCAGAAATATCCTCTGTATTTTCTCCTTGTCTTTATTTCAATTCCAGGATTATATTTCACAACAGGGTTATCATCCACAGTCACCTTATTCACCACAGCTTCAGGGATAATCGAACCTCCCAGAGCCTCAGCTTGTTTATTACACAAGTTTACAACTTCCACATTCCTCACATTCTTTAAAATAGAAAGACCAACCTTAGGAACATAAACTTTCTTCAAAGGGACAGACACTTTCTTATTAAACAGTTTTTTATTAATAGCAGCTTTAATCACTCTCTTTTTACCATGCTGAACTTGAATCCAGGGATTATTAACATTTCTTCTTTCCACAACCAAAGCTTTCGCAGCATCCGTTTGCAGGACTTGACCATTATTCACATCAACCAGCTGTACATTACTGGAAACAATTTCCACCTTATGTTTCAGCTCACCACATTCTTTCAAAGCATGTCCAATCTTGCAACATTCAGTGCAGATTTTGGATACCCCTTCATACTCCACCTTTTGAAAAAATTCCCCTGCTAATCCCTTCACCCAAACACCCTGAGGAAGTTTCATATCAAGAGGAATGCGCATACAAATCCGGGCAAATTCCTTTCTGCTCCATTAGAACATGTTCCCATCAAGTAGAAAAGGTTTGCCAACTAATGAAGCAAATCTACTAATATTTACCTCATCCCAACATTATAGAGGTAAATTAGGCATCCTAATCCACACAAAAGATGAAATGCCTTTAATCCACCAAGGGCCACCTGTGAGAATACAATCAACTGCATTTGCCTCCTCAAAAGAGCACAAAATCTAGCCAAGACCTAAACCAGTAATGTGGAATTTACCAAATTTCTCCCATTATCTTCTCAGCTCTGTGCTCAACACATGAAAAGGAATATTTTCCCCAAAAATTTTCACCACAACAGCCTTTTCAAGTTTCTTAGCATTCTCCAATTCTTTCTCAGTATGAAGAAAAACCATTTTACCAACCTCAGACAGAAAAGATCCCAGATCCAGATTATCAACCTTCAAATTCAGCTTTTTACTCCAAGTCGATTGAATCTTCACATTACGTCCCTTCACCTCAGAAGAAGGCAATTTAGAAAAATCAACCTCTGGAACCTTCACAGGTAAACCTCCAATCTTCTTCAGAGACAAATCATCATCCACAATACCTTCATCCTTAGAACTAATTTTCAACGGAGCATCAAAGAAAAAATCTCTATTAATCGGTGAACACGACAATGATTTAGTATTAAAACAAATATTAGAACTGATCCTCTGTCCAGCAGAAGATGATTCTCCTAAATTCATACCATTATTAACCTTCTTCCCACCTTTAAGAATAGGTGAAGCATCCTGCTTCTTCAGAAAAACCTCCTCGATTACATCCTTTCCTTTACCAGGAACATAGCAGGGGATCTCCTTCTTATCTAAAACTCCCCCTCTTTGATAGCCAACGGTTTCTCATTCAAACCTTTAAAATTCTTATTGAACCCCTCCAAAACTTTGGATCCGCCATTAAAAACCTCTGAAGAATCAAGAAACGGATTAGAAATACCTTTCCTGTAATTCTTCCAAGCTTCTGAAGGAATGAGACATCTTTGCTCCATCTCCGTCTCCCCTCGCCGCCGGAGTTCTGGCCGACCTCCGGCCAAAACTACCACAAAAAACAAGAATCGCCAAAACAGAAATTTGAAAAACCAGACTCTCTCTCTAACTTTCTCTCTTTAACTGTTTTTTATTTCATTTAAAGTAGTTAATTTAGCTTCTAAAAACTTATTTGCATTGTCAAGAATTGATTTTTTTTATTTTAAAAGCATGCTCCTTACAATTTAAATTAGTTGTAAGAGTATCTAAGTCCTTATATGCATTTTCTAGTTCAATATGTAAACTTTTTATGGAATCATGCTCATTTGTTAAATCAAGATGCTTTTTATTCAATTCATTAAATTCATTAAGTAAAGTCTATCTAAAGTGGAATAATTTTTTCTCTGGCATTCATGCTCTTTCTACATAATTAAAAAATCAATTTTAAGGCTAGCATGCAGCTTCTTGAGCTTCCTACACAAAGAATAAATTTTTTAAGAAACTTCAAGTAATTGATCATATGTAAGCTCAAATACCTCCTCTTGATCAGTGTGATCAAGATAATCATCCTCCATTAAGCACAGGCTTATTACCTCTTCTTCTGCTTTAGTTTCATAAGAGTCTGATGCATAGTCTACCCAAAAAGCCTTTTGGGTCATTTTCTTGAACTTTTTAAACTTAGGTTTTTCTTAACCCATCTCTTTTCTTGGGTGAGTTTTAAGAGTTGGGCAATCAGACTTCAGATGCCCTAACTTCTTACATTAAAACTAAATAAAATCAAAATAAACTTTAAAATTCTTATTATTCTTACCCTTGTTCTATTTCTAATGATGCTTTTGTTTTTTCCTTAAGAAGTTCTTGAATTGCCTGGTTATTAAAGAGATGTCATCATATTAAGAAATCAATGAATCAGTGTCATAATCATTAGCCTTTACGATTATATTTTTCTCTTTTTTCTTCTCACCTTCATCAAATTGTCATTGGTTCACTCCTTGTTCATAAGCAATGAGTGATCCAAGTATGTTATCAATTGAATAAATATTCAAATCCTTAGATTCGGTAATGGAAGTAATTTTTGCATCAAAGGAAGAAGGTAAACATCATAGAATTGTGTTAACATTTTCATAGTTTATTAGTTCTCTTCCTAAGGCATGCAAGGATGTAACAATTTATGTAAACCTAATATATATTTCAGAAATAGATTCGCTAGGTTTCATGCAAAAATGTTTATAATCATGCAGAAAAATATTCAATTTAGATTATTTAACATTATTTGTACCTTCATATGTTATGTATAACCTATCCCAATTTTTTTTCTAGTGGAACAAGCAGAAATACGCATATAGTCTTAAGATTTTAAAGCACAAAAAAAATAGTTCAAGTACTTAGCATTCAGTTATGCTAGATCTCTATCATTATTAGTCTAATCAGCAAAAGGAAATTTAGTTTTAACACTATTTACTAATCTAAAAGGTGCAAAATAACTTTTGTTGACCTGTTTTTCCCACAGACCTAGGTTAAAGAGTTGACCTGGTCAAATTTGATTAGGCTAGACACCAAGACCATTCCCAATGGATTCAGGGAGTCAAGCGAAGTTTACTGAGCCCAGACCCAGGTCCTAGGTCAACCTGGTTGACCAGGTCAATCAGGGATTACCCAAATCGACCCAAACTCCTTTTAATTGATTTTAAATCAATTTCAAAGCTACTTGGCTCAGTCTCTCCCCTCCACTGGATTTAGATGGTCAGATTAACTTTGTTGAGCTCAGACTTGAGTTTTAGGTCAACCCAGGTTGACCCAATTAGCCTGTATGGGTCAAATTAGATTCAAATCAAGTCCAATCTTATTCTTTGGCTCAAACCCTAACCTCTCTTGACCTAATGGGCTAAGTTGAAAAAGTCAAGCTTTGACTTGGTCAACCTAAGCCTCATGAGGACAATTTGACCTATTCAAAGCCCATTAAGAGCCCATTTAATGCATTTAATCTCTCCTTAATGTGTTTAAAATTGAAACCATGACCAAATAACTAAGTTCCCTCCCAATCCACTCAAGGATTGATCTTGGCCATTGATCTTAGGTCGTAGAGCTTTAAATAACAAAAATTAGGGCTTTGGTAAGGATCTTTTTTTGTTTGCTCTCTCTAAACCTCCACAGCCTCTGAGATTTTGTGTGAGGATTCCTAGAGACTTCTACTACCCTTTTCGACCCAGATCCATCGTTGAACACCCACCGGTGGTAAGATCTCCGGTGAGCCAAGGCTAGAAAACTGCCAAGGAGTTTTCTCGTTGATCCATCATGTTTTGAAATGCAATTTCTTCTAAAACTAGGAGCGTGGATAATCTATAAGTGTAATAAGCTTATATACGGGTCAAACCATCCAAAAACCAAGGTGAAATCGCAATCCCTAGACTAAATCATTTAGGATCAAATAGCTTTTCATAAAATGCATTTTAAAGCAAGATTTTAATTCCTTATTGATGCTCTTCATATATAGATACCATGTTTAAAATTTCTTTAATTTTGGTTGTGTCATTTGAGAGAACAAGATGATAGATGCATTGAGCCTTTGGTTTCGCCCTAGCCACAGGTTCAATTAATTCCATCCATTAATCATTTGATCAATAGCAGAGAGGCTGTCATTCCGCGGTAAGTTCCAAATAATAGAAATGAAGCCGCGGTTCTATTTTTGGTTTGGCGCCATCAAAACTGTCTGCTCAAACCACGGATGGATCGACGGCTATGATCCATTGCCTATATGGCTAAGTGACGCGACCGCGATAATCATTGTCGTGGTCATTGCGGCAATGATTGTCGCTGCGATAATCATTATCGCGGTCCGCAGATCCAAATGGATCTCGCCACTTGATAGCTCGAGATCAGCCGCTACCGCCACCTGCGATTTGACCACCCAATCAGTAGTCACCATGTTGCCCCACTGCCGTTTATTTTAAAATTAGTTTTAAAATTATTTTTAAATCCATTTTAAAAGTAGTTTTCTTATAATAATTATTATAAATTATTTACTAATAGAAAAATTATATATTTTATATCATTATTTTCAAAAAAATATTTCCTTTAATTTAAAATATTTAATTAATTTTATTTAAAGATAATATATATTTATTTAATTATTTCAAAAATAATAAAATCAATTTTTAAATTATTTATTATAATTATAATTATTTTAAATTATATTTATTTTGAATAAAAAATTAGTTTAATTAGTATTATTATGATTTTTTTTAGTTACTTTTATTATTATTATTATTATTATTATTATTTTTAAATTATAGTTTATTATGAGATATTTGACTCACTTTAAAAAAAAATCAGAGAAACT